CATGACCTGCTGTGAATATGAGGAAGGCCGTGCTTCTGGAAATCAGCTGGTCTTCCCTTGATTTGGGCAGGAAATTTTTAAATATGGAGTAAAATTATTTATTTTTAAGACGAGAGCAATATAACTCCAACAATCTCATATCAAGTGCATCATAGCTAAATACTAATTTATTAAATCAGTAAAAGAGTTTATTTGCAGAAGGTTAGATAAGTTGCTGCAGGATAGTAAACGTCAGATAGAAGAGGCTGAACTCTATGACCTCATGATCATCTTTGGAATGCGTTAATAAAATCACCTCTACAGCAGCTGTATGGAGACACATTTGGTCCAATATTATGGACAGAAAAGGTTTTTAAAAAAATGAAAATTTGAACTATTATGTTTAAAAAAATCAGATCTAATTAAGATTGTGTATGGAAAAGTTTAATCATTTTTTTCCAACTTTTCTACTTTTTCAGATTTTATTTCTAAAAATCTTCTAATTTTTTTTCCAATTTTATGTTTAGTTTTTTTTTCTTCCCCCAAATATCCAAAAATGATCTGATGGTAATTTATGGCAACGTTTAACCAATGTTTTTTTTTTCAGTTTTTTTAAGTTTTTTTATTTTCCAAATTGTATATTTTTTAATTTATTTATGTTTTAGGGGACTGTGTTTTACAAATTATATTATTTTGAAATCCTTTTCAGATTTTTGCCTCCATCCTTTTTGGATGCTCTGTATTGATGTTTCTATGGTTCTGGGTACAGACCACACAGAAGTAGGGTGAAATCTGTAAAACGGGTTTTAAAAACACTGCATTTTGTAAAACTGCCAAAAAATGTAAAAAAAAAATAACACCAGACAATAAGGAAAGACATAAAAATTCTAGTTTAACTTTTTCATACACATTTCAGATTACTTTCTAAATATTTTTTTGATTAAAAACGTGTTTGTTTGTTGTTGATTTTTTTAATGAATAATTTTGAAACAAATTTCCCTCCGTACAGCAGCGCTCACCTCGCTATAAAGTTGATTCTAAGGAAACATGAAGCTGACTGCTTTTTGCAGGAAGGCTAAAAACATAAGAAACATCCTCTATTTAGATGCTCCAGTCATCACCTTGGATTATAAACGTTAAATAATCCTGAAATGGACTAAAATCTGAGGTTTATCAAAGGATGCAGGTCAAATCTGGTCTCTCTAACTCATAACTTCATGTTTACCAGCGGTTGCTGGTGGGAGTCCACACAGCTTTCAGGAGCGGATGGTGAGAAACACAGGGGAGCTATTTAAAAGCTGCACGACTGAAAAACAAACTTCACACCAGATCTTTAGTCCAGAGGAGATTAGCATTCGGTTTCATGTGTTCCTCTGACAGCAGCAATAAACACAAAGTCCTGAAGCCCTAAACCTGATGGAGAACAGCTAAACAATGGATGCAATAATTAAGGAAAGGTAAAACCGTTGGTGCAGCCTTGGACACAATAAACAATTTTACCCTTAGAAATGTGGAGTGACAGGTCCTGAGTGGATTAAGGAAGCACTATAATGAAACATTAACTGGAAAAACAGGCACAAAACAGAAAGAACCAGCAGGACCATTTGAAGGAGCGCTAACCTGGAAGCAGAGCTGGGTCTGTTTGCTGATCATCCACCGACAGCCGCCCTGGAAACGCTGCTGCTGCTGCACGGCCACGCTGCTGACACACAGAGACCTGTTAAAGGATGAGCAGCCAGACGTGGCCTTCCAATCGCACAGAGCGCAGACACCAGGAAGCCCTCTGATAGGCTGACGGCTCCAAGACAGTCAGTCTGATTGTTTACCTTGGAGACAGTCAATGGGTCAGATATGGAGGCAGCTGCACTAGTTTATTACGCTTACATAAAAACCCCTCTGCTCACTGAGTCGGTCAGACGGAGCCTGACTGAGGGAGTTCAAGGAGCGCCGCTGCCTCACCTCTGCCTCACTGACCTCTGACCCCTGCATGCTCAGCTGAGATGATTACAGGGGCCCGAGATAAAAGCTGATCAAAGACAGAGCGTTCAAACTCTGGGAGTTAAAAAATAAAAACACTTGGTTTTAAACCTGGAACCACACAGCAAACAGGGAAACAAACCAGTTCTTCAAATGAGAGGATTTTCTCCTGATTTCAACAGGAAACAGAAGCCATAAAAAAGATTATTTACGTTTAAAATATGAAGAAAAAAACTTCAATGTCATATTTTAAAAGCAAAATATCAAATGATCTTATTTCAGGGTCAAAGATTCCTGTTTGATTGACTTTACCTGCTCAAATTAAGGACAAATACACTAATTTTAAAACATTTCCACTCATTCTTAGATCACAAAATGGAAAGAAGATTGGTAGAAATGGTAGAAGATTAATCAGGTCAAATCTCAATTATATGATATAAAGTCAGGAGCACCTCAGGGGTCTGACATTGGGTCTAAACTGATTGCTTTCTGTAGATAAATGGTTTTATATTAATATCCTCTTATTTCATTATTGAACTATCAAGCTTCATTTAGCAAAAAAAATGCCACAAGAAAAATAAGCAAAAAAGAAACAAATTCAATGTTTTGTTAGTTTAAACTGGGGTTGGACAATTCTTCACGTCTGAATTACGATCGCAATTTAACTAAACCTAAGTTTAAAAACAGAAAGGCTCTCAGTTCTGGTTATGTTACTTTCAAGAAGAGTCATAGACTAAATCTGTCTCTATTCTCCCACTCTGCAGAATCTATTAGTTCAATCTCTAACGTTC